AGATGAGGTAGCAACAATATTATAGCTTTTTGAGCAGGGCACAATATATATATGTCCACTGTATGGGATGGATGGGTGAAAAATAGCAGGAAAAAAGTACCAACTGTGAATAAGTCTGATTCATTTAAACTTGACTGCTTTTAGATAAACAAAAATTGGAAACAAAAATCAAATGATGCAGCCAAACCAAGCACTTCAAAAGGTGAATATTACAAAACAGCGAACACTGAATGTAATCAAATCAATGATGATTTTTAGTTATTTCTTTCATGCTTATTTTTTTTTTCCTTTTTTTTTTTGGTTAGACAAAAGTTCTGACTCTGAAAGTGAAGATGAAGATGATCAAGAACACACTACCCCCCTTAGACATCAGGTTGGTTACCCCACCCCACTCTCTTTAGTAATCAAGTTGGTTATCCTTACCCTGCTACACTAAGGTTGGCTAACTCCTTCCCAACCTCCATGGACATTAAGTCAGTTATCCCCACCCCACCCCCATAAGGCATTAGTTACACTATAAAGTGATGATGCCTTGAAATCTATGTTGTTTCATTTGTAGATAAGTGGAAAGCAAAGAAAACGAAAAACAAAAGTCAAGACAGAAGACTCATCATYRAAAAAGCAAAAGRCWAAMAACAATGKTGACCACAACCCATCATACGAAGCCTTATCTCAAAAATCCACTGAATTCGTCCCGTTTGACTATAGCCCTGGAGAGAGTAGTAAGCTTGAAGGTCAGTCAGCCTATCACAGCTTACTCAGTAAGAATGATAATTTCCCAAATTCTCAAGCAACTGATTTGTGTTAAGAAACAAATAATTAGGTGTTCACAACTAGTTTCTCTGTGATTTCTCTTTCTCAGTGACTGTGGGAGCTTTCGATTTGTGAGAAATGGCTGGCCAGACCCAGCAGAAATGTCATATATATATCATTCATATTCAGATCAAGTTTTCAAAATGACAGAAAAATATTGAACAAAAAATGTTGATGGCAAAGACATAATTTACATGTACTTGTAAACAGAAAATTCTTAGTGAAATTCTTAGTGAAATTCTTAGTAGCGGCCCTACATCCCACCTAGGCGTAACAGGAATGATGATGATGACTTGTTAACAGACAGGTTTGGCCAGCCAGTTCTGCCTAAATAGAAAGCCCCTTGTGTTTCAATGATATACTGGTTAAAATAGCTTATCCACACAAACTACACAAGTTTTGCTTATGATTTATGCAGTAATATATTATCCATGAAAATCACAACGAAGTCAAGCCTTCTGGAGCTTGAAGCATGACACAGGAAGCCCAGTACAATGCTATGATTTTGATGTTGTTTCAGTTGAAGATAAGAGTCAAGTCAAGAAAGACATTTTTAATCCTTATGAAAAAACAAAACAACAAAAGGTATTAAATCTTATCAGGGGTTTGTTGAAGGGTTTGTTAAGGCCTGTTTACACTAGCGATTTTTACTGCACGATAATCGCCACTTTGCTATCGCGTAACTAAAATCGTACGTGTAGACTGCCATGCGATTGTTGCGGCGATGGAAAATCGCCGCGTAGTTGCAGCCAATTTTCAAACGTTCAAAACTCAGGCGATCGCCGCGAAATCGCTCTGGAAAAATCGCAAGTGTAAACGGGCCTTTAGCAGGTATACAGTGATTGTATAACTCTTGTACCAATGTTTTAGGCATTACATATCAGGAAGAATATTGAACTTTTCTATCATACCAGTGCATTGTTACTAATACTTTGTTGTGTTTGTTTTTGCTTGTTTTTGGCAACAGAAAACCAAGTCCCCCCGGTCTAAAGTACACCTGAAATCAGGAGAGAGAAGYATGACCTGGTCGAAAAACAGGTAACAGGACATGGCTTCGTGTATTAGATACATGGTTTTTGATCAAATCCTGCATTTTCTCATTTTYCATTTGACCACCGATCCCTCAATTTTTTTCCTTCTCGTTTATGATCCATCCCTTGATTATGGAAATAATGTATTTCATTTTCATTTATTTCATCCATCCATTTATTTTTTATTCATCCTTTCAGTTTTTCAAACCTTTCTGTTATTTCATTCATTTGTAATTTGAATTTGCTTTTTTTTCTTCACCAGATCGTCACAAGGCAAACAACAATGGCCRTCACGATGAAACGCGAACACCAAACATTTCTCGTCTTGTTCTTTCATATCATCTTTACATAAAACACAAGCATAACAATTACCCATGAGCATAAGATGAAAATTGTGTCAAAGGTGTTACTGTTGTGCTTATGCTAGTGCTTGTGTCGTCGTAAATTTTAAAGTGTGGCAGGGAACTGTGAACTGACTATTGCGGCGCGAACGCCTTACGGATAATTTCTTATTTTTTGTCTGTTTCGGCCTATTATTATTTAAACGAAATCACCGAGAACTATGATACAACGATGATCGAAGAATGAAACGAACGAAAGAATGTGCACGTTAAAAAAATATCAGGGCTCGTATAAGCGCAGACTTTGACACCTTGTTTTTACTTTCTTATTTCTTATTAATTCAATTCCTTTACTTATTACTATATGTAAAAGTAGCTTTACTCTTTCTTGAATTCATCTTAAGGAATTGTTCTGGGAGATAAGGAATGATATTAACGATTTTTACAATGAAATCTCATTCCTCATTATGGAATTAATATAAAATAAAAGTTTCTTTTCATGACAATATTGTAGACTGAGCGCATCTGGGCAATCTTTTACGGTTATTTATGCAAATGTTGACTTTACAGCAATTTTCGTAACCAGAGTACATGTTTTTTGAAAATAAGTGAATGACGGGCTCCCTGTTTCTCCTGATACATTCCATCATCGTCTACACTACAAAAACGTCATAAGGTCAATACTGTCCATTGTCCGATCACCAGGCAACCAATCAAAAACAATGAATAAATCACGCAAGCCAATTATTACTAAATTCCTGTGGGACTCCTTTCAACTCGCTCGTCAATAATTGCAAGTTAATAACTTCGATTGGGGCAATACTGAACTTTTATAWTAGAAACATGAAGTCCAACGTACGAACACAAAGACTGCTCGACTTCTTACCGATATTTAACGCYATTTTAACGCGGTTGATTTTCTTCATACATGGATTCTTTGCAGTATGGCAACTAGTCAGTTGTATGAACGAACCGAMGTATTGGGCGATAATTATAGGGATTTTTTGTCTGCTGGTAGAAATGGTTTATACTTTAGTAGCCAGAAAAGGTCATGAATACAAATAGTAAGTGTTGTAGTGACTGTTCTTTAGTAATGTTTTCTTTAAGTTATGGACCTTTCTTCTTGSTCTTGCCTGACTGTTGCTTTCAGCTGTTTACAACTGAGTTAATGAGGCTYGAGTGCTTGCTTTTCTCATTCAAAGCAACTATGTTCAAAGTAAACTAAACATCTAAGTTTTCATTCACATGCATTTGACAATCAATAAGCTCTATGTCTGGACGAGTTGATATACTAATTGCTAACAAAGTTRCTAATGGACCAAATGCCGGACAAACTAATGTTTTTCAGTCTTTCAACACCTTTAGTTATATACTGACTGTTTTGTAACTGAAGTATCTAACTATAGAAGTTGTAACATTATTATGTATCTCAAGAAAGTTCTATGCATGAGGACAAATATAATACTCTTTAGAGATTCCTTCGCATTACTGACGACAGAAAGTTTTTCCCGATTCTTGAATTTGTAATGTGGACTTGTTAGTCTATTTCTGTTTATTTGATTTAGAAAACTATAGTCAGTTATATTGAGTTTAAATTATCGTAAAAAGATTAGGTCTGACGACTAGTTAATTGCTTTTTCGAGCAATTAAAAAGCAGTTTTGATTAATTTTRATTGATTGTCAAAATAATGTAATATCGAGGAAAGCATGGATAACAGAAATTCAGTTTTTATTCATTATTCGGCTTCAGTTTTTCGTCTTGTTTTCGACTTATGGTCGTCGTGGTGTCGTCTTTATATAGTCGTCCGACCTCGTCTTGTTCTCTTGGTATTGATTATTATAAAGAATTCATTGATTTTTATTTCCTATTAGTTTGTGGCCCAGTTGTTTCTTCTACATGCTTACCATGGTACCCATTGTGTGGATTTTTGAGATCGAGTTATATAAAGCTAGAGCCGGTACTTCTACAGTAAAGCCTGGCAAGGAGGTGAGTCGTCTGGTTGACATGACAACACGTCAAGGGCTCTTATCGTGAGAACTTCTAACGATAACGATACGCTGGAGCCAGAAATGAACCYGATGTTGTCAATTTATAATATTGATAATTTCTACGTCATTAATAATAAATTTATACCTATAAGGTAACATCCCCCTTAYCAATTGACTACGTSAASAAATTAGGCMGTCTGTTAAMAGACGTAACTACAGTGTAGCTATACATTTCGGTCTTACTSACCCTCACTCTAACAAATATATTCTTATGCGACAGTGCTGGTCAATCGGAATCGAAAACATCGCGAAAAATGTCTGCGAGCTTGGTCTCATCGTTGGTATCATAGTAGGGCGTTGGCTGCTGCCACGTGGCGAGATAACACGTGATCAACTGTCAGCCTTGTTGCTTGGTTACGTTGGAACAGCCGCTGATATCTTGGAACTGTTTGAAGTCTTTGAAGAAGATGCTGTAAGTCACGTGATTATAATGATGCTTATTATTGATGATGTATTAATAATCTCTAATATATGTTGCTTTAGGTCGTTGGTGAGTGGRAAATTACCAAAGCTGTWCTAGGCGTGTATACATGGAGTCTGTTACAGTTTACGTTGGTAACCACGGCAACTACTGGCAAGCACCAAATAAGGATTAATGCAAATAAGGTGAGCTGAGACGAGATATAGAGTATTGTGTGCTTGACAAGCCTTCTTTTCATCTCTGATTTTATATTTCCCCTGGTAAAAATATTTAAACTAGATTTTTTTTTATGTTCAAGGTTGATTCGACTCCAACTGCCGAAGAAGTGTTCAACAGGAAAATCAGCTCACACAAGAAACCAAATATGAAAGCCATTAACGACGAAGAAATCAAAGAAAAGTACATCCAGCGRCTGAGAATGAAACGMCGACAGACAGACAAAGACTTGACTAGAGGAAAAGGTTACAAAGGAGTGAGAGAACGTAAAATCAACCCCATTACAACAGGACGAGGCGATCTCAAGAAAATCTCACGACGAGAAATGCTTCTTCACGGYGATATCTTTGGTATTCTTGCTGGGATCTTTATGCAGGATGGACCRTTYCTCGTCCTTCGACTTGTACTTATCATTAARTTCAACGTATATAGTGAAATGCATATATTTTTTACRTGTAAGAATGCTATTGCCCTCTCTTTGCTCGTCTATCGATTGTGCATTCTCACTTGTAGTGGRGAAGACGAGATTATCAATGAGAACGAGGAGAACGAATGGCGACTCCAGAACGTACAGCAAGCTGTTCATAGTGATCAATTCAAAGCTTCTGGTGCAATTCAATTGGCTGGATAAATAATTTATTGAAAACACGAGACATTATCACATTTTTATTACTGTCTTGATACAAAGCATTTGGGAATTTTTTGACTATCACGAGGCATTGTCGAGTTCAGTATAAATTATTGCAGTCTTGCATGGATTCAGTACGAAACATGACTGAATGCATTAGCGCTTTCAGGCCATAAAAAACGCTGTCAACTTTCACAATTTTTACAAGTAACTGGAGAGATTGTCGACATTGTCAGTAGCGCCCGCATTCGCAATGAGTTACGGCACTTTTGAAGGACACGAAATATTTTTGCCTAGTGCAGTGCTCTTTTAAGATGATTTATCAAGGATCAATATGAGTCAATTTCGTATGAGTGGGAAACGTACGGTAGAACATTACCGCACGGTTACCGCATAGTTACTGGACCTGGCCTGCACAATTTTGGTGAACCAATGGGGCACTAGAATTTGGTTACAGTACGATTACGGTCACAGTACAGTACCGTCCGTTTCCCACTCATACGAAATCCGCTCTATCCAATAGGATTGCACGTTATAACAGTTTAAAAACAACATGAACAAGGCAATCTGTTTTCGCATTACACAAGCTTCCATACCAAAGTCAGTGTACTGTTGTATCTACAGCATCTACAAATCCAAAACTGTTATTTGACAATACATCACTCTATTGTTTTACCGTTATGTACATATGTATATAGTTTATTTATTGCAACAAGAAGTAATAAAGCATTTCAGTTTTCTACCGTTCGAGCTGATTACCGTATGCGAGTTAGTGAAGCCTTTTTCCAATTTATATTTAGGGTTCAACGTCCTTTCTGGCGTTTCAAAGTGAATTAAAATACCGAGTGGTTTATCCGGTATACGAATATAAAATACTAAATGGCAATCCGTGAAACAAATAATACCAATTAGTGATTACTTGAAAATAATCCAGTTTCGAATTCTTGGCGAATAACCGCTGTTTTATTTGACAGCAGATTCTCTTACGCAAAGAACTTACCAAACACAAAAGAAAGCACGAGAAAATGT